TAATAAAAAAAAAAAAAATATATATATATATATATATATATAAATATATACATATATATAATTTTTTTTTTAAGTCTGGAGTTATAATATAGCTATAATTTAATGAACTTACTGTTAGGGCGTTCTTCACTTTGACTTCGTCGCCTTTGCCTCTCTGAAAATAACATCAGCCATATCAGATGTGATGATTATGACATTGAACCTTCACAATGATCATGAATGACTGGATTTAGTGAATGTGTACAGAGCATATGGAGGTTTTATGCGATGATAAACACGAAAGACAGAATATTGGGTTGCACTTTAGAATAATGGTCTGTCATATTAGGTAACTATGTAACTATACACTATATTAACACTTCACTAATATGGAAACAAGATTAACCAATCAGTAATTAATAGCGAATTTAGAACTGTGATAGTTCATTATTACTGAAGAGATTAGATATATTAAGAACTATGACCAATTATAATTACTAATTAATTATGCATCTTCAGAGAAACCTCAAATTTATGTTTAATACCAACCAAATACCTATTGCTTATAATTGGTCATAGTTAAGAGTTATTAACGAAACTACTCTCATTGAGCAATGACTGATTACCTAATAAGGGACTTATAAAGGTTATAAGTCCCTTATTAGTATATTGTATATTGATACATTCATAATCCTAAAATCAATCATATTTATTGATTAGTTTGTTTACAAATTAAAATTAGCTAATGGTTGTAAGTTAAGTAATATATAATGTAGTACTACTCACTGTCCTGCATTACTTTCTGTATAGTTTGTTACTTATTAATGACAGACCATTATTTAATACATTTCAGCTTTGGCATTTGGCATATACTTGGGAATCAAATAGAAATATTAACATGTTCATCATCAATTTATATTTAATTTCTCTGTGTGAAAATTACCAAACTAAACATTACTAGGTGAACCTTTAAAATCAGACACATTTGAATAATCAAATTGGCATATGAACACATTCTTCATAGCAGCTGGTAGCAAGTGTAGAAGACTTACTGCTGTCTTCTTCATGCAGCGATGAGACCTGCTGTGTCTCTTCAACTACACCATGACTGATTATTTCATCCACTTGTTGAAGTATTTGAGAGCGTAGTGTATTTTGTGCAAGTTGAAGGCGTCCTCCTCCACATTCTGTAGATATTTCTTGAATATATTCATTTTCAAATGTATGTTCAGCACTGCGTGTCTCATCATCAGTAGTCAGAATCATAGTGCGCTTCATCGCCTGCTCACCAAAGCAGTTCAACACTGAAGGTAATGTGTCTCTATTCTTTTGATTAAAATCATTGTGCTGCAGCACCAGTATGATCACATGAGGCTCTGGAGGAGACAACTTGGACACGTATTGTGCTATTGTTTGTAGTCTGTGTACTGGCTTGAGCAGGTGAGTTGTGTTGATGACTGTGATGCTTCTCCTCTCCACTCTTTCCATGAATGTCTCCACATCAGGTTGTGGTGTTTTCTTTCCAAACACATTTTTATTTAAGATTAAGTTTCCCACTCTGATGTTTTCTGTCACGTTCTTCCCCACCAGGACAATCCTCAGATCACTCACTGAAACACACAATACATACATACACCATGTTGTCAAATGGAGTTTTACAATTTTCATTACATAATAGAGAGTAAAAATCTTTGAATTAACATGCAAACATTATGTCTGGTTTAATTATTGATGGTTTACAACATGCATCCTGTTTCACATAAAATGTAAGTTATTAATTAATATTAATACTATGTTTTTGTCTATCATAGTTTGTTTTGTTTTACTTACTGTTGGGACGATTACCAGTTGGGCTTTGGTCTCTCTTGATTTCTATAAATTAAAATAAATAAATAAACAAATAAATCAACAGTTATTAATATCTTCATTATCATGCTTACTGACTAGAGTAAGTTAATAAGCCAAAGGACAATGCACACATTACAAAGCCATTTTTATCTGTAATTCAGTGTTAAAGTTTATATCTACTTGAACTCAAATAAAGGTGCAATATTGAATAAATGAATAGTTTTAACATATTTTTTTTTTACAGATTTTACAGTTTGGCATTTTGTGAATAATTTAAGATGTAATACTTTAAAGGATTACCCTGAACAATGCTTATCAGAGGACAGACAAAAACATATGTTTGAGTTATTTCACAATAAACAAATCGTAGCCTACATAGTTTGTACAATTACATTTATTTAAATTGAACGTTGAAAGATAATATAGATCATGTTCTATTCAGTAATGTTAATAGAAATCATACACTGTCAGAACAAAAAGGTTGCATTTTATGGATGCAACAGCCGGTCACTGGCAGTCCCTTATGATAATGAACCATGGTTTTACTAAAGTGACCATAGTTCAACTGTAGTATTTGTAGATTTGAATCATGTGTAAACAAAAACACATTTGAACCATGTGCAAACAAATATATAACCTAATAAATTACAATTAAGGCGTATTGAATGTTAAAATGTGTTTTAAACAAAGTTAAGTGGTTATCATTAGCCATTTTACTCTTAGTAATTTAATAATTTAATACATTTCATAATTTAAAAGTTTAGTTCAGAAGTATCGTATCGGTATCGACGATACTGCCTTGAAAAATATCGGTATCGTATCGAAAACAAAATAAGTGGTATCGCCCATCCCTACCTTCAACCGTTTGGTAGCCGTTGAAGTCCATTATAAGGAGAATAATCCTGGAATGTTTTTTATCAAAAACCTTAATTTCTTTTCGACTGAAGAAAGAAAGACGTAAAACATCTGGGATGACATGGGGGTGAGTAAATTATCAGGAAATTTTTATTTGAAAGTGAACTAATCCTTTAAGACCTTTGTATCAAAATGTTAATCAGATCAGATCCCCTCTGTATTTCTAGATTGTAACTGAGACACTGGTAGATCAAGTACGATTATAGATAGAAACAGCCAACTATTTTTTGTCTGAACAATGAAAATTCCTGTGGTCAGAATGATTGCAGATCTCTGCCCACTCCTGTGCTAAAAAAGAAAAAAACACACTGTTTCATGATCTGTAGTCTCTTATGGCTCATTTCCACTGAGCGTTATGGTTTGGTACTGTACAGTACGGTATGCAATTATGTCCGTTTCCACTGTCAGAAGTTGTGAATGGTACCCAAAATAGCGAACCGTACCATACCAAAAGGGTAGGGATGCTCCGATTAATCGGCCGGAGATCGGTATCGGCCGATAATCACATTTTATGACTCGATCGGTACTCACTAACTTGGCCGATCTCACGAACCGATCGCAATTTGATGACGTCAACGCGTGACGACGTACATGATGCGTGGGGACATAAATGATTTGGCGCTGCAGTCATGTCATCGCTGGTGTGGAAATGCTATGACGTTTCGAGAAACAATGAAAAATGTGTTATTTGTCGTGTATGTTTTGCATGACGATATGATGAATGGATGGTTTATTTTTAACAGCAGATTCAGTGACGTTAGAGCTGATCTGCGCATCACTGCACACATCTGTGGCGTGTTATGGATCCACGGCTACCGGAGCTGACCGCGGCCGCTCTAGTCAGTGCTTGTGTTTACCAGCAAGCCGTGGCACATTTCTGAAGTGGCTCTCCGCGCTGCTTGGCTAAAAATAGTCTTTTGTGAGGGGTGAGGGGAGAACAAAACCTCGTCTGAACCGTAAGGGATAACGGTAACATAACACGCTGATCGTGGGCTGCTTTTAAATGAAAATGTATTTAACAACAAAATATCTTCTTTGGCCATATTAGCCTACTCAATAGCATTAACACAGGCTTTAC